AAAAAAATCAGCAGTTTCAGCTCACCAGCCACTCCTCGGAAACCATATACAGGGTCACTAGGAGTTAGGACTGACTTGACAGCCCTTAAGAACAACAATGCAACAACAACTGGGCCAAATAAACGGGTTCCCTAATTTTTAATGCTTTTTCTACTACACTGATCAACCATAGCCAGCATCATCTGAAACTCTAAAATGCTGTATACAACTCATAAATGCTTGTATAAAAAAAGCAGAGTATTTCAAACCCATGAGAGGATCTTTCAGTACCTTAACTGGTATAACCCATTGACAAGCTGAGCAGGTATTATACCACTTAAGGAGGCAGTGTATGATTTCAGAGGAAATTTTTAAATTATCGACTGAACAATTTAAGATAATTTGCATGAAGAACTTTAAAAATAATTGACTGTTAAACTGTGTAATTTATATATACCTACATATATTATAATAAAATAGTACAATAGATGTATAAACTGTATTGGGTCAAAAGTAGAATAAGGAAATCATTTTAATCTATTTCACCATGGATACAAAGAATTCCTTAACAATGAGATCTCTCACTTTATTGCATGTGGTTTGGAAATTCAGAATGGGGTTTTTAAACAGGACAAGCTAGCAAGTGTTTGAATTATACAATTAAGTATTTTCCAGAGGAATAAATGGACTTGAATGTTTTTAAGGTTTTCTGTATATTTGATAATATGAATTTACACATTCATACTTAGCTTGGGAGTGCAGAACTACAAACCACAATGTCCATGGTTCAAACCCGCCAGCCACTCCATGGGAGAAAGATAAAGCTTTCTGCTTCTTCAAAGATTTAAAAGCCTCAGAAACCCTAGATAGGGTCGCTATGAGTTAGAAACAACTTGAGAGAAGTTAATGATAACAACAACTTAGCTCTGGGCTGAGTGAAATTTACAGTCCATTAAATTCCAGTTAGAACCTCAATACAAAATCATGGGTCAGTGCTAGAGGAAGAGAACAATGTCTTTAAAAAATTTCTAAGAGTTAGTCAAATAATTCACTCTGTTTGAATGCATTCAAGATGTTGCTGTTATTGTTACATGCCATCAAGTCGATTCCAACTCATAACAACACTGTACAGGGTTTCTGAGGAGCACCTGGTTGGTTTGAACTGCCAACCTTGTGGTTCACTGTCCAGTGCTTATCCTACAGTGACATTCAAGATAGACTTATTATTCTAAATTTTTAACACACACATAAATATATCTTCATCTCCACCACTTTAAAGATACCTGTTATAATGACCACGGTAAAAGCTGCAATTCCACTATCATCTGTTCCCGTCACAATCTGTGCTCCCCCTTGAGGATCTGTGAGAAATACATAGAAAAATTCCTGTCCTTCAGGCTCATCATCATCCAAAATTTGAACTGAAACTTTTCTTTCTCTTTCTCCATCTAGAAATGTAAGGATAAGTGCTTGTTCTTGAAAGTCTTCTCCTTCAATTGCCCATGTTAGGTTGGAAATGCCATAGTTAGCAGGAAAAGGCCATGTATCTGGTTCTTCCTCAGCACACCTTCCTCCAAAGGTCTTAACTGTTATACTGACATTGCCAGCAAATCCACCAGTTCTTCGGACAAGAACTTCAGCAGTATTGAGTGTACCATTCTTCATCTCCTCATCAATGTAAATAAAAGGTGGCCCAAGGCTGAATATTCCATGAATAGAAACATCGGGAGTTACCGTGTCCACAGCAGGAGTCTCAGACATGGTGGATGTTCCAGGAAGGGTGACCAGTTTCTCTGGCATGGCAGACATACCAGTTGCCTCAGTACCAACGGTAATCATTTCAGATGGCTGTAGAACGGCAGTTGTTTCTATTCTGTCAGGGGATGTGGCAGAGTCTGTTTCTACAGGAATGAGAGCCGTGTCAACTGCCACAGCCACAGTTGTCTTGGGGAAAGAAACATCCATTTCTACCAAGTCATCATTATCTAATATTGTAATCATTGCAACACTGAAATCTAGATTCAATCGTGGCCTCCAGCTGACATCAAACTTCTTTAATCCCCTGATTTCTACTGAAGTTAGATTGATATAAAAGTTTTCTTCTATCTCAGGAAACTGATCATTAATAATGATTATTTCAAAATTAACCTCTGGTTGGAATTTCTTAAAAACTATTTCCCCATCTTGAACAGGCTCAAAGTCTTCCGTTGGCTTTGCGCTTCCTGCAGTTGTTTGATAAAAAACTTTAATAAGATCACTGTGGAACCCAAACAGTCTCTGGACATGTAATCTGATCATCTGTATATCCTCTGACACGATGACATTTCTTGAATTAGGGGAAAACTGAAAGACTCCCATTGGTTCAATTTCAGCAACTGTGAAACCTGATCTGGAAAAAAAAAGATTGAACCATGAAAGAACTGATGCAAGTAGGAATACCACTGTAAAGGTTATCTTTCACATATGTAAGATGCTGCTCATGAGGGCAGCATCTTTAAAATGACATGCCTTTTCAAATATCATAAACCCTATTACTTATTGATGAAACTACCAGAGCACAGGAAATGTAGGAACAGGAGCTACGATTGGAGGTTAGGGGATCTAACAAGGCTTATTAGCTAAGTGAAGGGAATATGTGTTTCTGGTCTGCTTCTCCAGTCATCACAGAGCAGCTCTCAGAAGAATCTGAAGCATAGGGTTTCTCTTATCATTAGTACAAAGGGTACCAAAAATTCTGTGATGCTCTGGGCTTTAACCACCTCTTCATCTACAAAGAAGGAACAGTTTCTCCTATTAGGAGCAAAATCCTTGCTTCCATTAACCAACCAGTATTGGAACTCTCTCACACTAACGTAGTTAAAACTGTCTACAAGTTGGAATGACCAAGATTGAATGTTTTATCTTTAGTGTTTTTTGTTTTTTTTAATGGTTTTTTATTATAAAATACTAGCTATGTCAGAAGTTACAATTGGTGGTGCATCAACCTAATGTAGACCACAGACAAATTATTTTTGCATACAGTGTATTTACTGTTTGCTTAAGCAATGGACTCAAGTTTAACAGCAATTGTGAGGATGACACAGGACCAAATTGTTGTTTCAGTCTGTTGTGTGTAGCGTCACTATGAGTCAAAACCAACTTGATGACACTAAATTACAACAGTACATATTCCTAAATGTAATGCCTTTGGGACAGTATGTCAGGCCTGATCATTCTTTATTGGCAAACACCCATGCAGCATACAGCAGGTTAGTTAAGAGCACAGACAGCAGCCAAAACAACCTGGGCTCAAATCATGACCCCAAATTTTATTATCTGTGTGGCACTGTTTGTGACATAATCTATCTGTACATCACTTTCTTCATCTATAAAACAGTATCTAACCCATAAGGTGATAGTTGCAAAAGCTACATATAGATTAGAACAATGCCTTCCTAGGATAAGCATTATGAAACTGTTAGTTATACTGTTATTGTTAACATCATTTGATCTGGTAACCCTGAAAAACATTCTACAACAAAACATTGTTTATCTCATATGTAGAATATAAAACTATATTCAATGTTGCCTGCCCATGTTCCACATACAATATGGATACCTGAACATCAGCCGTTTTGTCCAAACATTTTAACCATTTTACGAATAAGTAAACAAGCACAGAAGATAAAGTAACATTCCCAAAATCACACGGCATGTAAATGGTAAAGTCAAGACTAAACCCATGAGTCTGACTCTCAGGTCTGCCCTCTGCTATTCTATCAAGCCAATCCCAGGAAAAGGAAAACAAATCTATATCAATTAACTTTTTTTTTTCTAAATTTCTATCAATTTCCCAGCTCTATAATCCCTTATCAACATGTTCCACATTTTCCCTCAATTCAGAAAGCAAAGAAATTGAAAAAGAATCACTGAATTATACAAATATAGGGGAACTGCTAGAGATACATGAGCCTGTTTTCAAACCCAGACCCCTTCACTGACTAGCTATGTGATCTCAAAAATGTTAATTAACTTTTCAGTGTTTTAGGTTCCTTTTTCTGTAAAATGAGAAAACAATAGTACATACTTGGGACATGGATTAGTTGAGTATTATTATTAGTTTTCCAGTGGTTCATAATATTATAACCTACAAACTTCCCAAGAATATGACTCTCTATTTGTGACATGTGTAATGAATGCCTATAGAAAGAAAGACCCATGTAATGAATTCTGTGTATAAATGGCCCATGTGCAGATGACAGAATGAGTCCTTCAGATTGTTCTTGCCTCATTTGAGGGGCAAAGGGAAGAAAGCTTAAGTCAAAACATTACAATCAATACAAAAGCTAGTTTTTTTTCATTGTCATCTTATTTTATTGAAACCATCCCCTAAGTTTAAAAACTATCCCCTCAGTCGTGAGTAATTGTTATCATGACTAATTGTGTTTGTCACAACTGTAAAAGTAGAAGTTGTGTAACAAAAAAGGGGGTAGTTAATCTTACATCCCAGGAACAAAGGCTCCTAGGACCATCAAGAGAGAAGAGCATGATTGGAACTTGGGATCCTAACCAGAGAAGAGGCTACACCAGAGATGGAGGCAGAGGTGATAGCATGGAAAGATAGAGCAGCTGAGGACTTTAGACTTATGGAAAGAGAAAGGCTAAGTGCTGGTGGGCAGGAGGCTGGCTTGCAAAATTTGCCTTTTGGTTGTTTAAGCAATTATATACCCCTGCATGTTTTTGTGTACATCAAAAAACAAAGAGGGAATAGAGGCAAATACTGTTAACTGATGGTGCATGGAGGGGATTGTAATCATTGTAATGAAATAAAATAGTAATGGTTGAGTACAAAACTGATGTTCTCCCATGTAAATTATCACTCAATTAAAAAAAAAAAAAAAAAAGATCTCCTCTAACAGCAGCAATAAAAACAGTACCAGTTGCAATATTGTTGATAGAAACTCATGGTATCCCTATTTGTATCAGAGTAGAACTGTGCTCCATAAGGTTTTCAACTGCTCATTTTTTGAAAATACATCATCAGGTTTTCTTCTAAGGTGCCTCTAGGTTGACTTGAACTTTAAACTTTTCAGTTTGTAGTTGAATATATTAACTGTTTGCACCACCCAGAGATTCCTCAAGATAAACTCTTTTTAAAGCCAGCAGTAGGTATGACTCTTAAAAGTCATACCTCTCTATTGTATCTTTGGCATGTAAGCCTGCCCTCCCTTACACTAAAACTATATTCAGATCTGCCTTGAAGAAATAGATGCTTGTGACTTTTTCAGTCTTGACCAATCCATTCCAGATAACATTCTTCAGGGAAATTCTTAGATGAGAACCAGGTTGCTCTTACCGAAGTTGTGCTCCACCTGGCGCACTGCTCTGCACTCCTGATAGATGAATGACAAAGGCCTCTGGTTGACCAGGGCTTGGAAATGTCCGCAGCACAACTCCTTTACTGTGCTCACCATGAGAAAATGAAAGGCTTCCTGAAAGCAAACATAAAATGGAAAGAAAGATGCCACTTTTTAGTGCTTACATTAGGAATCAAGTAAAATGCAGTAAAATCATTTATTTTCCAAAATTCTTTTCTAGTCTACAGAGAAGACTAATTGAAGTATAATGATTAAATTTTAAATGATGGTTTTGGGGTAGGGAAGGAATGAAATTTATAGAAAACTCTCTAGACTACAAAAACTTTGTTTTTGATCCTTGTCTTCCTGCATTATTTTACTTTTCTTTAAATTACAAAATTTGAGTGACTTTGGTTTGAGTTCAGGAACCAGGATATATTTTAGAGATACATACTGAAGTAGTTTGGAGTAATGCAATATTATGTATGTATTTCATCTTAAATTACTTCAGAAAGAAACATGGCATAAATCTGGTGGGATGTTAACAATCACAAAGTCTAATTAGAAAGTTTATGGTGTTCATTGTATTAATCACTTTAGTTTTCATTATGCTTGAAAACCTTTATTATAAAAACTCAAACATCGGAAAAAAAATTAATTGAAAATATCAAAATACTTGTATTGTTTGGGAACTCCTGTTATTTTAGTTTTACCAACTTGTTAATAAATTGACAATTTTTAAAGATTACTTGTACAAATAAGTACAAAGTCACACATGAACTTCTAAAGAACAACATTTCTACAAACACAATTTTACAGGCCTAATTAGTGGCAGATAATATTAAAACAAACAAGCAAAATTATATGGAGATGTGCAGAGCACTCAAAGAGGTGGATGGCAAAGAGGGGGTGTAATATTTCTGTTTATGAGGAAGAAAGGCCTAGAACATTGACAAGAAAGATTACAAAATACCTTTAGCTGAGGTGATGTGCCAAACACCAGTATTTGGTAAGTTAGAGCAAGGGTACCTAGCCAGTGACTAAAGAAAACCCAATACACAGGCAATTCTAGTACTCTGGCTGTGGTATCTCTCAATCAAACATCTAAATTTACTCATGTTATATTACTGAGATTCTTGTTTGGATTAGAAGGGGAAATGACAATGTTATCCTTTTGGCTGTCATGTAGCACTGTGTGTTAATGAGCTGGACTACTAAGTTGGTTTGAACCACAAGGTCGGCGATTCAAGCTGATGAGCCACTCCTTGCAAACCCTATACAGGCTTGCTATGGGTTGGAACTGACTTGACAGCACTTAACAACAACAAGTTATACTCCCAGCATTCATTTGTGGTAGCTTGCATGTTGCTGTGATTCAAAAAACTATGTTGTTGGTATTTTAAATACCAGCAAGATCATCCATGGTGGACAGGTTCCAGTTGAGCTTCCTGATTAAGACAGACTAGGAAGGAGAGAGAAACTGTTTCCAAATATTTAGTCACTGAAAACTGTATGAATATAGCAGGGGAACACTGTCAGGTAGCACAATATTGAATACTGAAAGATGATAAAGTACATCAGCATATGATTAGATATAGGTTGGAAGGCACTCAAAATATGACTGGAGAAGAGCTCAAAGTAGAAGTGGCCATGATGTAAAGCTTTTGGACCTGCATTTGTTGATGTGTACAACTCCAAATGAAGAGAAGCAACTGTAAATATCCATTAATAATAGGAACTTGGAATGTCCGAAGCATGAATCTTGGAAAACTGGATGTTGTCAAAATATGAAATGGAATGCATAAACATCAATATTCTAGGCATTAGTGAGCTAAAATGGACCGGTGTTGGTCATTTTGAATCTGACAGTCACATGGTTTGCTATGCCAGGAATGACAAATTGAAGAGGAATGGTATCACATTCATCATCAAAAAGA